GTAAAAGAAAAAATAAACCATCACTTATACACATAGCTACCAATAGGAGAGTATGCATTCTCGTTAATAATTGGTTGTTCGAGTAATAAAAAAGAAAAAAAAGAAAGAAAAATCTTCCCATGTGTCTATCTCTTTTATAATACAGTTGGCTGTCTATTTGCTTGCTGGCATATGTCAGAAATAGAATGATAATAATCATAATAAAAACCGAGAGAGAGAGAGATAGGACACGATATAAGGTATGCTGTTTCGCATGTCATTTATTCACGTAATACAAACAGTATACACTTGAAGAGAACTATATTGATTGCATACGTTCGACGTCATATTGTTGAATATGATCGATGGGCTTCTTTTGTATGATTTTTTTTTACATTAAAATTAGGTTGAAATGATGAGGCGGACGAAAGTAGACATGAGAAATGAATCACTATTTGATGAGCATGTAATCAATAAGGATGAAGCAAGAAAAAAAAACTATCACTGATAAAGATAGTTTCATGTCGTTTGCTTAGGGCAAATATTAAGAATATATATATATATATATATATGAAAACGAGTCATTCATAGTAGCTGTTGCTGTCTATATGTCATTTTATGATACTTAGTAGTTCCAGATGGTGTATATAAGTATATGTCGTTTAAACAAGATGACTTTTCTTCTCGTCATAGAAAACATACTTAATTGAAGTTTATATGAAAGACAAAAGAAAGAATAAGGCCAATTAACACCCTGAACAAATTATAAATACATTCCGTTAGATCGATATATATATGTTGCGGTTTCTTCTATTCTGTTTTTTGTGCCTCATTGCAAATCGTTCAGAAGACGGCGCGCATGAGTAAACTGTACTCTTGATGTGATGCATCGATGACAATTCTTTTCTAAATCGACTGTTAATGAACGATATCAATGAGTAGGTATATGTATATATATATGTTTGTGTGTGTGAGAGCACATATGGAAGATGGCAGGTATATAATTGAAAAAAAAAAGAGAAAACATACACGCGTGAGTGCGTGATCTCTTCTTGTCATTGTCAATAATAATTGATCGGTTATTGATAGTTCATGGGATTAGAAAATATAACTTTTTGTGAATATGAACAATAATAATGTTGGTAAGTGATGTGTCTAAAAAAAAAAAAGATCAAACGTTCAAAAATGGGAATACTGCTGTTTTTGTGTGTTTGTATTAGAATGATTTGTATGTCGACAATATGTTTTGTTTATATCATTTTTGTCGGAATGTATATAACTACAATAAGATTTATTTGTGACATTTGGTCAATGTACCAGTATGCTGACAAAGATCAAAGTAGAATAAGAGATACTATATAGTAAAATGAATATCAATGAATAATGTATGTTTGCTTATTTTTTTTTTTGGAATATGATTTACCAAGAAAAAGAGAAAAATAAAATCCTATTATTTCTCTGGAGAAATGTTTAACTAACGTGAATATTTAAGTTATATCTAAATGATGATGAATTGGTATTGTCATTAGATTTTTTTTCTCTAAGGATCTATGATTTAATGTTAAAACATGTGCTTAATATTGATTTCCCGCCTCCAACTGATGTGATTATCACAATTAATATCAAGAAAAATTTTTTGAAAGTATAATAAATAAATAAATAAATTTTTTTTTTCTTTGTCTCTTTTATCGATACTTATTGACTTTGTCAATAGATGGTAATAAAAACAAAGATTAGTGTGACAGATGTAATGATTACCATATACATTGAGAAATATTGATCTTCAACATACAAAATACATAGTTAACATCTGATACAAATGTTGAATAATCAGAATAATGAAGAGATTCTTTTCCGATGGATATATCGTGCCGAAGTTATTTCAGATCAATTAATCACTAAATAATTATTCAATAATTAATGATATTATAATAAAAAATATATATTCATAGTTAATTTTGCATTGTAATAATGTAAATATAATTTTTTAAAAATAAATTATTGAAAGATTATTCAAGAATATTAAAAATTATATTTCGTTGATATTTTATATAATTATTGTTCAAACCCATACTACATTAAGTTCTATATTTAATGGAAAGTCTCTGGAGTACCGTGGCTCAGGTTCAGACTACAACTGAACTTTAAAAAAAGGGTTCATCAAGAAATAAAGTGCATGTTTCGGAGACGATAACTAACATCAAGTCGAACAAAGACTTCACTTACTGAAGTCTTTAAGATGTAAGTAAAGTTAGCACCAGATTCGAGTTTTTACTGTCCGGATTTGCCCCTGGACTTGAGTTGATTTTGGTTCAACTTGAGTTATATGCAGAATTTTACGGCGAATCTGATGGTGTAAAGATCAAGGGGAGTCATCGAGCAAAAATCAACACTTGACCCCAAAATACTGGGTTCTTCAAAAATTTTCTGAAAGTTTTTCCTGTCGAAATTCGCTATGTTGCTTGAGTTGGGTCTAAAATTGGTTGAGTTAGACTCAGCTTGAAATTCTACATCGAATGATATCAATTTTATATGGAGTCATCGGCGAAAAAATTTCCACTTCACTCAATCCCACCCCTCAGAGGCCATCCTCACCCTCATCTAGTCGAAGAATTTTTTGCCCGATAATCCCATATAAAATTGATATCATTCGATGTAGAATTTCGAGCTGAGTCTAACTCAATCAATTTTAGACCCAACTCAAGCAACAGAGCGAATTTGGACAGGAAAAACTTTCAGAAAATTTTTGAAAAAACCAGTATTTTGGGGTCAAGTGTTGATTTTTGCTCGATGACTCTCCTTGATCTTTACACCATCAGATTTGCCGTAAAATTCTGCATATAACTCAAGTTGAACCAAAATCAACTGAAGTTCAGGGATGAATCCGGACAGTAAAAACTCGAATCTGGTGCTAACTTTACTTACGTATCTTTAAGCGCTAATAGAATTTATATTTATAGAAATTTTTCAATTTATCTTTCGTAGTCTGTAATATGCTTTAACTGTACAAGCACAATTCACAGCAAACAAAAAAAGAGCTATCTCACATTCTCATTTCACTTTTTCTTTGATTTTGTCTTCACTTACAAGTACTCACCATATCCTCACTCTTAGTCTTAATATTTTATATTAAATTGAACATGAAGATTCACTGTAACGTTTTGAAAAATAAATTTTGTGTCGAAGTTATAACTTCAGCACGACAGATATATTATAATGGGATTATGATTTTTTTTTTCAAAATCAATTTCAGTTTTGACAAAAAATATTTCCTATCATGATTCATTATAAAGTCAATTCTAACTAAACTTGTAACAGTTCCAAGTAGAATTCGATAAGATCTATTGATTTTATAAGTCAATTTTCCAGAACGATGCCATCTTCTAAATTACTGCCAAAAGACAAGCAAAAAATACCAAGATTATTGAAAAATGTGTCATACTTCGCTTCTAAGCTAATTCTAACTACAATGCTTGAACACATTTTTTCCAAAAATTTTAGCCAGTTGTTGCCAATTTTGAATACTATAGATCGTTCACCAGGAGTGAATAGATTGCGTATCGATTAACGTATAATTGATTGAGGGTATGTGTCTGCTGTTCTTCCAACCACATTCATACTTACCTATACATTCGCAATATCTTGGATATTCGACATCAATTGATAGTTATACATAATTCAGCCATTGCGTGCTGTTTCTATATCAAACTTTCCATGATGAAAAAATATCATCTAGTGTTACGTATTTGTTTTCTACAAAATAGTCAGCACAATATTTAGTAGATATTATTCATATTACGCTTATTCTGAATATATCAGTCTTAACCCTTTCCGGCCGGATATTGCCATTTGGTAACATTAAATCAGTATTTCAGGTAGCTACAACTTGAAGTTCTGATCTATAATGTTTTGATTATTTGAGATAGTGACAGAATACCTGCTAAAATCCCTGAAAGATCATCCGAGTCGTAAAAGTGATTTTTCTGTATATCTGAATAGTCAGCATTTGAGGTAACTAGCGGTTAATTTTCTCTTGTAGAACTGTTATATATTGCATCAGGACAATAAAAGTTACCAATGTTGCCATTTGGCAACAGCCGGGTGAAAGGGGTCAAACATTTTAAAAACTTAGATTTTTTTAATATAGCAACATGAGAGGTTTTGTGTTTTTATTTTATCCATACCTCAGTAACAGTCTAAAGCTGTTCTAATTGCTCGGCTATCGAAACCTTAGAGTCAAATATTCGTCAAAATATTTTATAATTTACTGGAACAGTGTAAGATTAGCGATATCCTTCAAGAAAAGCTCTCAAAAATTCCAGATAATTTAAGAAAATTCCGATATGATGAGAATTACTTCGAACTAAACTGCTTTCAAAAAGACAAAAACCATTTAAAACGTTCCCAGACTTCGAGAGCTTTCCTTGAAAGATGTCGCTAATATTAGACCTCTCGAGTAAATTATAGAGAGTATTTCATGAATAGTTGGCCCTAGGTTTTCAATATCTGAGCAAGTAGACTAGCTGTAGACTCTAACTGAGGTATGGATCAACACAAAAATACAAAGCTTCGCGTGTTCCTATGTTTAAAAAAATCTAAGTTTTTAAAATTTTTGACTTCTTTCGGCTGGCTGTTGCCAAATGGCAACATAACACTAAATGAAAAGATTTTTTGCTATTTGTCTTCCGGTAGCCGGCTGGAAAGGGTTAATCTGGTGACCCAGTTATTCACATAGTGCACTGCAAAATCATTACTAAAAGATAAGTGCATGCGTTTCATTAGTGAATTTTCAAATGAAAAAAAAAAAACATGAATGAATTTCGATAGAAACAATCGACAATTTTTTCTCTTGTCTAAACATAATTGAATATAACTAGTCTTTAAAACCACTATGATTTAACCAATTAAGAATATAATGAAAAGAAAAAATATAAAATCTCGAATGATGTTCTTTGAAAATATTGTTTTATGGATTTATTTAAATAAGAGATGAAACGCTGTGTTTGAAAATTTTTTTTTTTATTGTTTAAAAAAGAATGTTGAAAAATATTCAATAATTAAACAAGAAAAATTTGAAATTTTCAAAACATTCGCAACTCAAATTCATTTATTTAATAAAAAAGGCTCTAATCAATTTCGAAAAGAAACAATTGTTAGTTTTTTTGATTTTTATTCATTTTAAATTTAAAGCTTTAACATTGAAAAAATATTCAAAAATAATGTAAATAATTCAACTTAAAGTTTATTTTTCAAATGAAAAAAAAAGAAACTTGAGATTGTTCATTTCTCTAATCCAGCATTTTCTTTTTTTAAGTATCATTAACATTTTTGCAAAGTTTCAATCTCCTGTGAAACAAATCAAAATTCAGCTGCATATTTATGTCTGCATTCATTATTAATTTCATTGAAAAAAAAAATCGCAAAAAATGAAGAAATGAAAAACACTTTTCAAATTTAATGGAGTTTTTTCTTTTTCTTCTAAGGCGCCGACAATTCGAAATTCAAGCAAAATATTTTTTTGTTTGGCGTTTTTTTTTCATGGTTGTACAGAGCTCGTCGAGTTGATTCTGAAGATGTTGTATTGGCATATGCAAACAGTATTTTTCTAGTAAAGCTTAAAAAAAGTAGGTGTGAAAAAAAAATCTCAGAAAAGTCTATAAAAACTGAAATACATCAAAAGTATCAAGTCTCGTTAGACTCGATATTGGTTTTTCTCGTCATAGGAATAGGGAAAAATTTATGTATGTTTGATTGTTGAGAAGATCGGTTATTTTTTTCTCCATATATAATGACATAAATACGGGTTCATATTCAGAGATTTTGACGATGAGAACTTTTGTTACAAATACTCATCAAAAATGTCTGAATTGAAGAGTTTATAGAAACCTATATTTATGATGTTTTACCATCATATCAAAAAACATTGATTTTTTCAACAATCAAACAATACTTTTCAAAAACATGTACATAGATTTCTTCCTAATCATATGATGATAGGCTTCTCAGATTTTTTTTTTCAAAACATAATTGTCTAAGAACTATTGAATAGAAATTTCGATATGTATAAATTTGGTAGAAATAAAAACATCGAAAGCATTATTAATGTCCCTTTAGCACACACTAATCATATGCAAATGCAGGACATAGATCCTTCTGCAGATTATTCGGGCGGTGTTGATGAATGGGTGTGCTGAAGCTGTATGAATAGTACTTTTAACTTTTTTTATTTCTACCAAATTTATGCCATTCGAAATTCGACATGCAATAATATCGTTCTGTTAGGTTTCTTTCTCGTACAAGATTATATACAACTCAGAAACGAAATATTGAGATTTTTCATTCGCTTAGCAGCAATATGAGCAAATATTTTATTGAAGAATGAAACTTTTGAGCAAGGTAACTTATAAACAATACGAATTACGCGATAAACAAATGTCAGTATGAGATGATATAATATGAATTGTTGTAACATTTATTAAATTTAAATTACCTATTTCACAAGGAGTGGAAGACCTATATTATATAGTCACAGGCTTATTTTATATTTTTGAGGTGATAATTAAAATATATTTCATTTCATATCTGAACTACCATGATGAAGTTGTCTAGCAGAACTATATCGATGTATGTCTAATAGAAGTTTTTTTTAAATTCTTTCAAAATTCGACATGTCCAATATCAACATATGATGTTCAACGCGGTTTTTTGTATCCATAGGACGATCCACGAAATGCTGAGGGTAGATGAGTATGTGAATGTAAAACGTCATGCAAATAGCGCACTACTTTGCCGATTTGATAATGTACATTCGATAAAGAATTAGTAACCACTTCTTAGTTCCTAAGAAACTATGATAGGTATTCTGAAAGTTGTCAAACAACTTGATAATTTTGATTTGTAGATTTTTGAGACTTTTTGTACCTGTAAGTCAATTAAATCTTAGCTGCAGTATGAAAAAAGTTTATCGCAATAAAAGCTCATGTCCAAACTTATAATTTTCAGAATAATTCTGTGGGGGGGGGGGGGGGGGGGGTGTTTAAAATTCACTCGACGAGCTCTATCCAACCATAGGAAAAAAAAATTTCGAATTACCGGCAACGTAAAAATAAAAAATTCTCATGAATAGTAAAATAACAGAACAAACCCAAGTTAAACTCACCCTATCGGATCCTATGAGATTCGACGAAATCCGATGGTATAAAAGTATCTCTAGATACGTTATTTCCTATATTTTATTTTATTATATTTTACCGTAATCTTTATTCACCAATTGAATTTAGGAAGAAGTTAAAATTAAGTACATCTAATCTGTTAGTTTACGGCTCGTCGTACAATTGGAAGAAAATAGTGGAGGGAGAGCGAGGTGAAACAAGATCTAATGTTCAGATATAAATTTTACAGGATCCCATCAGATTCCTAGTATATCCGACTATCGGAAACGACATTCGATAACTTTCTATCGAATTCTTCATCATGGAATTTTTCCATATATAATACGATCGTTCACTGAGCCTGTACATGCAGAACATTCAGTGCCAAAATAAGCGGCATAAGAACAATATAAAATGGCATCGTAATCTGTCATACCAGAAAACAAAAGTAATAGTGGGAAAAATAGTGACCACTTTCTAGCGGATAAAAGTAGCCCGAAAATGGTATGGTAGATTACGGTGAAGATTAATGTAGTATTTTGGGGACCGTTTCCGACAGTCGCAACAATCGTCTGAAATGTATACAACTTCCATTTTACTCCGTATTTTGTTGGTATCCGTTCCGAATGTATACAAACATCGTATTGCGAAAATTAAAAAAAAACAGAAGAAACCAATACGTGTGATGTTGATGGAAGGAAATATTCATATTTCTTATTGTAAAATTAAATTTGATCGATAAGAAGCTTTTTATTTTCAGTGATTATGACACAAGTATTAACATTGAATAATAATACAACAAATATTGTTTCATCTAATCGTTTATTATCCATAACAAAGAATGAAAATAAAGAAAGTATAACACTTATTTGGTTTGATCCAAATATTGGATCACGTGATGATATTGAACAAACAACACAACTTCGTCTAATTAATGATTATGTTATTATACATATTGATCTTGAACGATGTATTTCATTTATTCAATCAATTAATAAAGAAAAAATCTTTTTAATTACATCAGGATCAGAAGCATTACATATTTTACCTCGAATTTCAACTTTTTCTCAAATTGATTCAATTTTTATTTTTTGTATGAAAAAAAATCGTTATGAATATTTATTAAAAGAATATACAAAAATTATTGGAATATATAATAATCTTAATGATTTATGTAAATCAATTAAAGAACAAATTGATCTTATTAATAAACAAATACAAACATTTTCTTTTTTTAATCAACATGAAACATTAATCAAAGATTTATCTTGTATATCAACAGAATTTCTTTGGATTCAATTATTTAATTCTATTATTACTAATCTACCACGAAATCAACAAGCAAAACGTCAAATGATTGAAATATGTAAAGAATATTATTATGGAAATACAAAAGAAATGAAAACAATTTATGAATTTGAACGATATTATCAATCAAAAGATGCAATTTTTTGGTATTCAAAACAATCATTTATTTATAAATTAATTAATAAAGCATTAAGAATAGAAGATATTGATTTATTATATAAATTTCGTTTTTTTATTAGTGATCTATCAGAAAATCTTCGATCTGAACATGAAAAAATTTTATTATCACAAGAAAAAATTTTCGATATTTATCGAGGTATTAAACTTACTAGAGAAGAATTTAATAAATTAAAAGAAAATCAAGGAAAATTTATTTCAATAAATGGATATTTATCCACTACTCGACAATTATCATTAGCATTAAATTTTGCATTAAAACCAACAAAAAGAATTGATATTATATCTGTTCTTTTTCATATTCAATGTGATATAACAAAAATTGATAAAAATATTATTTTTGCTGATATTGATCAATTTAGTGAATATCCAGGTGAACAAGAAGTTTTATTTGATTTAAATGCATGTTTTCAAATTCAATCTATTGAAGAAAATCAATCATTAAAAATAATTAAAATGAATCTTTCAAATCAAGGACAAAAACTTATAAAAGATTTTATTGAATTAAAAAAACAAGAAAATCAAGGACAAAGTATTTCAATTATTTTTGGAAGATTATTATGTGATTTAGGTCAATATGATAAATCAAAAAATTATTTTCAACAATTATTTAATGATTCAAATGATGAAGATTCTGCCTGGATTGAATTTAATATTGGTCGAGCTCTTCATCTTAAAAGACAATGGAACGAAGCTCATGAATATTATAATCGTGCATATGATCGAATGATGGAAAATCAACCAGCACGAATCAAAGATTCTGCTCATGTTCTCAATAACATTGGTAACATTCTCACTAATCAAGGAAAACACAGTGAAGCTCACGATTATCTTCAACGAGCATTAAAAATTAGAGAAGGATTTTATCCACCTGATCATGTCGAGATTGCTCATGTTCTCAACAATATGGGCAATGTTTTTGTTAATCAAGGAAAATACGATGATGCTTTCGATTATTATAAACGAGCATTGAAAATTAAACAAAAATTTTATCCATCTGATCATCCCGATATTGCTATAAGTTTCAATAATATTGGTAATATTCTCTCTGATCAAGGAGAGTACGATGAAGCTCTTAACCATTATCAACAAGCTTTGAAAATTGATGAGAAATTTTATCCATCTACTCATATCAATATTGCTCAAAATCTCAATGAAATTGGTCGTATTCTCTTCGATCAAGGAAAATACAGTGACGCTCTCGATTATCATCAACGAGCATTGAAAATTAGAGAAGAATTTTATTCATCTGATCATGTTGATATTGCCGATAGTTTAAATAATATTGGTATTTGTTATGAAAATCAGAAGAAACGAAAAATAGCACTTGATTATTATCAACGTGCACTGACTATATATGAAAAGTTTCTTCCTGTTAATCATCCTAGTCGACAGAGAACTGAAAAACATATTTGTCGACTTACTCAAAGAAACTAAACTCAATCAAATAAACTTCAATAATGATTGAAAAGTTCGAACATTTGCTTGTAATTGCCATATATTCAATATTTATTGTATCATAATTTTTAACAATTATAAAGTTCTACATTGAATTTCACTTATCATATGTGACGAGGAAAAGAAGTATACAAAAGTTGTTATGATGATGAATTATGACGAATAATTATTTTATTAATAAAACATTTTCTTTTACTTTATAATAAACTGTGAAAATCTACTTAGGGTTGACCAAAAGTTTTGATGACAGCGTTTAAAGGACCTTGTAGGATAAGGTAACCTATTGAGAAATAAAAAACTAAATATCCGATATTATAGAGCTTTTTGTGGCGCGTCAATTGATATATATTAAATCCTGTTTTCATAAGACTTTGAAGAAACTAGAGTCAATTTACTGGTCGACAACTACACATTCACATCCAAGTATGATAGGTTACTGAATATTGTGGCTCTTGGTATTAGTCGAAAATATTTTTTCTTACATACGGTTTTGGACGAACACAACCTCCTATACGTAGCATCTCCGGTTATCTTGTGGGTGTGTAGTCGTCTATCAGTAAATTGACTCTAGTTCCATTAAAGTCTTATGAAAACAGAATTTACTATATATCATTCGACGTGTCTCAAAAAGCTCTACAATATCGGATATTTGGTTTTTTATTTCTCAATAGGTTACCTTATCTAACAAAGTCCTTTAAACGTCGTGGCCAGAACTTCTGGTCAACTCAAAATAAATTGAAATTTGGTCAAATCCTATGTCAAAAAAAAACCGGATCACTTTTGGTGGTGTAAACCGTGGTAATTGTCAAAACCGCCAGTTTTAATTGACACTGGAGTTCGTTATAAATTTCATCGATTAATCGCGGTTCATCAGTAATTTTTCCGGTGAACTATAGAAAGCAAACGGTTGCAGAATGAAAAAAAAAACATGTATATGTACATGTGCGTGCCTGTCGCATCAATTATTCTGTTTGCTTGTTTGTTTAGAGAAAAGAATCGATATAACGATAACGAGATTCAAATTAGTAAAAACACTTCGAGAAGAAATCAATAAATCTAAATCAGATAGTCCTTCCATTAATATTCTCATTAATTGTTCTAAATGTTCTGTTGTTAAACGATTTCGTAGATCAGTTAATATTCTATTCATTGTACTAAAATCATGTTCTACTGTTGCTGTACATAAAAATATTTCAGCAACTAATAATAAGTGCAGATACATGTCTATTGTCATTTCATTTTTAACTAAATAAATCGAATTAATCATCATGTTTGATCTTTTATTTAAAATTTCATAAAATAGTTTATTATCGAATGGAATATATTTCATGCAAACATCATATGTTTTAAATTTCAGTGTCGATACCATATAAACTACCAAATAACTTATAACTCACGATGGATTAGTTCGAATTTAATCATGAATGATATACTTGTTGTTGCTAATGCTGGTTTTATCAGAAAAGATTTGTCTTCTTTCTCTTATAAGTCGTACTTCTTGGATCAATATGAATTTTAATCGTTAATCTTTGTCCGTTCATTATTATGTTTGTTTTAATATTGAGAAAGAAAATAATGTTCGATTGATAATAGGTTCAAGGAAAAAATCTTAATTATCTTGAACTCCGCTTTTCTAATCAAAATATATTCTAGCCGATAGAATAAAAACTCAATAAATTCATATGAATTTGATTTTATTGAGGCGCAGAATAATCGGCATTATGAAATATTTCAATGATGATGTTTTAATTTGCAATCATCAAATCAATGCTTAAAATATATTGAAAGTACTTACCCTTTACTGATTCTTTCGAAATGTACAATATGAAGACTTTTTTTTTTATACAACTGATAAATCGCTTTTGAGTTGAGACCTGTGAAGCTACGGTTTTTCGCATCCAAAAATTTTTTATCTCGATAACTTACATGTCCGACAATATTATGTCGTTTAAGACCTTTCTCAATAATCATATGTGAAAGTTAATCCAGTGTTGATATTTTCTTTTTTTTTATTTCATGTAAATTTTGAAGTATGCACAGTCCTAACTATGAATACTCTGCAAAAAGAATAATTTGTGTGCGAAGACAATGCACTTTTACAGTATTATTTAAATGAATGTTGTGGTAACAGAAAAACTGATTTTCGAATTAGGGCTATAGAGACAAGCTTTAATAAGAAAAAGTTTCAGGTTTTGTAACTTACTTCTATCCTAACATAAGAACATCAAATTCATTAGTTTATAAAAGACAAACTATCACTATAGCTGTATGTTAGAATAGAAAAAGCAACAGGATCTAAAACATTCACAAAAACAACGATTCTCATTAAAACTCGTTTTTATACAAAGTTTTAAGTCGAAAATCACTGTTTCTGTCACCCATGACATTCATTTAAAAAGCCCCGTGAAAATGCAGTATCTGAGTAGCAATAAGTTAAGAATCAAAGCCCGAAAACGAACCGATTTTTAAAAATTCAGTTCGTTTTCGAACTTTGTTAATAGCACGAACTCTTTTTCAGGATATTCATAGTTCATTTAGGTGACTTTCTTCGTGAATTCTTGATCGACTTTTTTCGAATCAGTTACATATTTATTGAATATATTAAAGCTGACAAACTTAATATAGATAACACTCTCTATTAATAAATTGTAATACACAGTTGTAATTATCCATGATAGAGATAAACTCTAGTCAATGATACTAATAAAATCATGTAAATAAAAATGACTATAGACATCATGTAATAAATTGTCTACTTACACAAAGCTAAATATTCATGGATTGGTTTTAAATAAATTTACACATTAATGCAGAAAGTTTATGAAAAAAAAAAAAAACAAACTTAAAAGCGACATCTATAAATAAATATCCAATATGTCAATGAGTAAAAGAAAAATAATAAATAACAAAAGATAGTTTCATTTTATTTCATAATAAAACGATGTCAGAATTTGGTCATATTGTTTTGACATTAAGTAATGTTTTATTACCACCAGAAAAACTTTATCCAAATCCAACACCATCAACAATTGAAGGTTTACCATGGGATGTTGAATATGATTTAAGATTAATTGGTTGTGAACTTATACAAACAGCATGTTTATTATTGAAATTACCACAAGTAAATTTTGAAATATAAGGAAAAATAATTTAATCTGATATTATATTGATTTCTTTTTGTTGTTTTTTTTAGACAGCTGTAGCAACTGGTCAAGTTTTATTTCATCGTTATTTTTATTCTTCATCATTTATTCGTCGTCCAATGGAAATAGTTGCAATGGCTTGTACAAATCTTGCAGCTAAAATTGAAGAAAATGCTCGACGTATTCGAGATATTATTAATGTATTTCATCATATAAAACAAGTTCGATCTGGAAGGTAAATTATATTTATAATTCTATATAATATATTTCAATAGAAAAAAGATTTTTTAGTATGATTCAACCATTATTAATTGATCAAGGTTATGTTGATAAAAAAAATGAAGTTATTAAAGCTGAACGACGTTTATTAAAAGAACTTGGCTTTTGTGTTTATGTTAAACATCCACATAAGGTAATTTTATAAGATTTCTTTGGTTTTTATATATATATATATATTTCTAATTTTAATAGATGATTACAATGTATTTGAAAGTTCTTGAAAAAGAGCGTGAACAAGTTTTAGTACAAACTTCTTGGTAAGTATTTTCATTTCCTTACATTTGAGCAAAAAAAAAAAAGAAACCAGTAGGAATGAGAGTCGATTGAAGATATTTTTATTTGTATAGTTGATAATGAATTGGAGTTTTGCTTTTCAGAAAAAAAAAGAAAGTAGGGAAAAAATTTATTGATGAATATTTCATCGTATTTTTCCCTTTTTTCTTTTTCATTATTTTTGAATCTAGACTTTTTAAAATTAACTTGTTTTATTGTCTTTCGTCCAGGATTTAAATGGAATTATGCGTATATAACCTGTTGATTCAGCCGGAGTATATGCACATTTACAACGTCGGGTCGTTTTAATCAACACTCGACTTTAACTTTTTGGATATGATCAAGTATCGGTCGGTATTTATTCTTTTAAAAATTTATTCATATGATATTATGTTCTCTGTATTTTCTAGTTTTATCGAACACAATTTGTTTGTTATGTTTGATTTAAATTATATTAGAGATTTTGTTTTTGTTTTTCTTTTATTTTTTAGAAAATGAACAAAGCTGGAAAAAAAGAATTTTCATATTAGATTTGGTTGAAAAATAACGAGATTTTGTTTTTTTTTGTTGTTATTAGAAATAATAACACATGTATTAAAAGAGTGTATTCAACTATGTCCCCAATAGTTACTGCAAAAGAATGATATTTGAAATTTTTGTGCTAGGTTTTGATTTTTAATCTAGTGGCGCCGCCACTCGACGGCAGAGTTCTCTTGAGGAAATTTATAAAGATGATCCTATAGTAGGGCTTAGCTTCCTTTTCCTGACCAAAAATCCTGATCCCGTCGCTACTTTTATTATTTTTTTCCTTTCTGCATAAAATTAAACATAGCGTGTAACAACTAGTATAGAGTTTAGCAAAATCATCCTTATTATGTAAGATAGAACTGTAAATATCATCTTTGTTTCTTCATAATTCCTACTTCCTGTTTTTTGATTTTCTTGTGTGATACATGTTGCACATTTGTATGCTAATCCGATAAAAATATCACGTTTTGTTATTCATTGAATATTTTTACAATGCTTTTCGAATATTTTGTGTTGTGTTCAAAACTTTCGAAAATGAAAATATTTTATATTGTAAATTGTTTAGTACATATTAAAATGATGTTATTTCTAAAAAATTTTGATAAATTATAAATAGAGAAAAGAAAAATCTTTTCTTTTAGCTTTGTTCATTTCAAACATAACAAACGAATTTCATATTTTGAGAACATATTTCTTTTTCCTAATTTACCGAAATACCGATACTTGATAGAATAGATTTTATTTGATATTGATAGATAAATAAAAATTAAAAAAAAAATACAAAAATTTTGTGATTTCATTTTAGGAATTATATGAATGATAGTTTACGTACGGATATTTTTCTACGTTTTACTCCTGAAACAATTGCTTGTGCATGTATTGATTTAGCAGCACGAATTCTTCAAGTAAGGAGAGACAAAAAATATATGTAAGAATTTTTTATATCTAATTTTTTAAATTAAATAGATTCCTTTACCAAAAAATCCACCATGGTATCTTATATTTGGCGCACAACCTGAAGAAATTCGTTATATTATGATTGCTATACTTCGATTATATAATCATCGACCAGTAATAGAATAAAAGATTCGATTTATATTTATTCTATTTTTGTTTTGTTTTTTAGAAACCACTTGATGAACTTGAAAAAATTCTTAATACATTTCGTGAAAAACGAGAAGATGAAAGAAAAAAATTACGACCTGAATTAGGTTGTGATTCACCAGCTCAACAACCAACTATACAAATTTCTATACCATCAACAGTTATTTCTTTTTTAACACCGACTATTGTACAACAAGAAGGTAAATAAACAAAATAAATAAATAAATTTTTATTTTTGTTATTTAGTACCTTCTGTGATTACAACAACTACAGACGAAATAATAAATACAATGGCAATAATAAATGGAAAGTTAACTCAAAAACTTGATCAAGGTAGTTCACGTGAATCATCAACAGTAAATAATCATCGACATCATCATCGTCATCATCATCGAAGAAAACGAAGTAGTTCTCCAAGCAGGTAAATTAGAATTTCTAATCTGCATACTCTTGCTAAAAGATCACTCGATGAAATCAATAAACCTGTTGTACCGGGAAAGCAGTTCCTCGATTGCTAGACGAAGAATTGCCCTCAACGACTTTTGATGCCTAGAAATCTCCTAAATAATAACATTTGCCGGAAGCATTTTCATAAAATATTTCTAATTCCCGAAGAGAGTATAAACTAGGAATATCAGCGTTCCGTTCCTAAGACGGAAACTTTCTGAATTCATCGAACGAAAGGTAATTTCCTAAAAATTACGATCTTTTTATAAAATTTGACCAAAAGATCGAGAGTTCAGTGACTCAAAAATGCCACTCCAATTATATAGAGAAAAGCAAAGCTTAATAAAACTAGGGAATGACGAAAATCTTGAAAATTTTTTGGAAAAAAAATCGAGGTGCTGAGTAAAATTTTTTGTCGTTTATGAGAGATCAAATGACGGGCTATCTTTCCCTGCATTTATCCTAATTTCGGTGATTTTGATGAAAAGTGACTTTTTTAAGGGGGGAGCCTTAAGAAAAAACCCTAACTCAAAATTTTCAGAAACCGATTACAAATTCCGATTACCTTTCCTTCGATGAATTCGGAAGGTTCCCGTCACTAGGATCAGAACGCAAAACTAACACCCCCCTAGTATAAACAATCCGCTTGAAATTTTTACTACGACTTTAACGAGAAACGTACGAAGAAAAAATTTCCCGAGGTTTTTTTTTTTGGAGATATCTTATCCTACATCTGGAAGATGATTTCAGGTTCCAAAACGGGAGTTTTAGCATTCACCGACTCTCTAAATCCGAATAGATCTAAAGAATAATTCAAAGCGTAAATATTTTCTTTATTTAGATCATCATCACAATCATTATCTCGTTCTCCAATTCATCATCCTCAAAAGAAAAAGAAAATTTCTCATCGTAGTCGTTCACGATCTCGGTATACATACATAAATTCTTTTTTTTTTTTTTTGTAAGTAAATATTTTTCTATTTTAGATCATCATCACGTAAAAGACATAGACATCAAAAAGATAAACGACATCATAGTAGTCATACATCAAATAATCATCGAAAAAAAGATAAAAAACGACGATCACGTTCTTCATCACGTGATGACAAGTAAATATATTCGAAAAATATAAATCATTATTTTCTCTCTCTTTGTTTTAGTCATTATTCTAATAATAATAATAAACATTTTCTAACAAACAATGATACAAATAATAATATTCATCAACGTTCACATCATTATTCATTCAAACAAATAAATGGTGTTTCTTCATCATCTCATAAAAATTTCAATTTAAAATAACATATACACAAAAAAAAAAAAAAAAAACAACTAGTCACTCTTCTCTATGTATAAATTTATATTCATGCGTTCTTTTTTGTTTCTTTTTCTGTAACTGTATCTTGTATGAAGAAAAAAGCAAAAATAAAGGAAAAAAAAAGACGATCAAATAATAAAATTTATACAATTTTTGTATTTTTTTTTTTCAAAAAAAAAAAAAAAAAAACATAGATTTTGTAGATGATTAGTATATTTTATTCATGTCGAATTCATTAAAACGTTTAGAAATACGTTTAAAAGAACGTGAAGATGAATATATTTGTTATAAACAATTTTATATACTTGTCGGTACATTTAATGTTAATAATCGACAAGCACCAGCAAATATTTTACTTAAAGAATGGTTTTATAAAGTAACATATAATAATGAAGAAAATAAACAAATGTATATACCAGATATAATTGCAGTTGGTTTTCAAGAAATAGATACAAGTGGTGGTGCATATATATATGATGATAAAAGAAAAGAAGATGAATGGGAATATATGGTACGAAAAACAATTAAATCATGTTATGAAAAAAATAATGAAGAAAATATTAAATTTAAATTACTTAATCGTGTTAGATTAATGGGTAAGAATAATATTAAATTTTGACAAAGAAAATTCTATCATTAATATTGATCTTCTCGAGAAATTTCATTTACTTCTATATCAAAATATCATACAAAATGTTTAGTAGTGTCAAACTTAAAACTTGAATTCAAGTATTCAACTATTCTAAGATACTACAGGCATCATCTGAGATGCTATGAACATTGCCTGGGATTCTACAGGCATCATCTGAAATGCTACAGATATCCTCTATGATGTTACGGGCTCAAATTGGATACTGTAGATACTGTGTTCACAGAGATGCGCATAGGTCGGTTCATACCCCTACGCCGTAATGCTGATATAGAGGGTCAGTTAGGTGGCGAAAAGTGTTTTCCATCCTCTCCCCTCCTCGTAAATTTGCAGCACTGATAATTGCATTGTTGAATATTTGAAGTCAAGTATTTGATTATTCAATAATTGAACACTTGAATTTAACATGTATGAATTTGCTATTCTAAGGAGATAAATATTAGTAAAGTCTTCACAAATTTCGAAAAGTTTAGCATCAGTTGGTTTTTTTTTAGGTATATTATTATTTGTTTATGTACGCTCAACTCATATATCGAAATGTACATTAGTATCTCGTTCATCAGTTCCAACTGGTTTTATGGGAATTGCTGGTAATAAAGGTGGAGTTGGTATACGATTTCGTTTTTATGAAACTGATATATGTTTTGTTAATTCACATTTTGCATCGGGTGATGGACAAACACAACGACGTAATGATGATTATCAAACTGTTGAATCACGTATGGCTTTTACTGATGGACCTACTTATTCAATTAAAGATTATTTTTGGTATACACCAACAACAGCTGAGAGTAGTGCTCCTAATCCTCAAAATTCATCTTTTCCTAGCCAATGGTAATATATTGTAATTGTTTGTTTAAACAAAATTCTGTTATTATTGATTAATCAAAGTAAAGATTGATAAAATTTCTTAGAGATTATATTTTAAGAAAGAAGAATTTCCTTGTGTTGATTATCTTCAGACAATATAAATTGAATAAACTATTTGCCATATTACATTCATTTTTGATTGTTTTCGTCAGTGCATAATATCCTTATCATTAATAAGAACGGAAAAATAAAACTATGATTTTGCAAAGATTCTACAAGGACGATGTTACGAGCAAAAGTTGTCCGTCGATTGTCTCGTAATAGTTTTTCAAATATTCATTTGAATCTAGAATAGAGAATCTGCCCTTAGATTAGAACACTGCTCTTACAGTTCACCGACCTTTCGACGAAAATCAGAAATATTGGAAAATATCAATGAAATATTTTTATCGATCAGGAAAATATACGCTGCTAATTTCAGGGAAGATCCAATAGATTCTATTCTCCTGATTCAAAACTAAATTAATAAAATCTATGATTTATTATCAGTTATATTTCAACACTGTTGTGAAAGTGATTCTTTTTTTGATAATATATACTTTCATGTTGATGTCACGAAAAGAGTATTAAGATTTCCTCTTCTGTACGACCAACTTAAGACATCGGAAAGGCGAACATTTATTTTTGGAAGTATAGACACATAGTACATACTACAATAATCATAAAATTTAGGAGAGTCAACTTGATTCTTATAGGTGGGCTCTTCTCACGCTCAAAAAAAAGAAAGCTATTAAATTTTTAGTAATTTCTTTTTGTTTATCTTAATTATTTTATAATTTAAAATTATTATTTTAGGTGGAAAATAAGTGATCATGATATAATATTTTGGTGTGGTGATATGAATTATCGAATATCTCAACCTAATGAACAAGTTCGTAAAGCAATAAGTGAACTTTCAACTGTTCCTTTACAAGAAAAAGATCAATTACGTTGTGAAATGAAATTAGATCATGTTTTTACTGGTTATTATGAACCAACAATTAATTTTTTACCAACATATAAATTTGATATAAATACAGATAATTATGATACAAGTGAAAAATTACGTACACCATCATGGACTGATCGTATATTATATCGTTCAAAACGTTTAAAAGTTCTTAATGATAATCAAAATGAATTAGAAACAATACAAACAATAAATTATTCATGTGCAACAAATATTAAATTTAGTGATCATCGTCCAGTTAGTGGTTTATATTTAGTTGTTATTAAATATGAATGTGATGAAAAACTTTCAAATCGTATACGTGAAGAATTAATACGTGAATCTGATCGTATAGAAAATGAATTAATACCAGCAATTGAAGTTAATCCACGACCACCACAAATTATATTTAATCATATACGTTATTTAGATAAACCAAATTATTCATTAATTATTAAAAATATTGGTGAATGTACATGTGTATGTACAATAGTACCATCATCAATATCAACATCATTTCAATATTTAACATTTAGTCCAAATCCACCATATACAATAAATATTAATCAAGAACAACATATAAATATTAGTTTTGATGCTAAAACAAATATAAAACAAATAAGTGATATACTTATATTACATGTTGAAAATGGTGCTGATACATTTATTACATTAGATATAACATTAGATAATGGTCCATTTAGTTTATCATTAGATGAATATCCATCTACATTTTATGATAATGAAAATAAAAAATATATTTATACAAATGATAATAAATTTCATTCAGAACATATTATTGAAATGATTAATGATCCACCAATAATATTTATTTCATTAATTGATTGTTTAAGAGAACGTAATGATGTTAATTTATTATTTATATTTAATAATGATATACAAGATTCACTTGATTTAATACCAATACGTAATCAAATTTATGAAAATAATTATGATTTTATAAATTATTCAACACCAGAAATATTTATGATACTTTTACATCTTTTACAATCATTACCACAACCATTAATATCATATGAAATACAAGATAAAATGTTTTTAAATACAAAAGAATATTTTTTACGACAAGATGATATGACTAAAGCTGTTAGTATTATAGTTGAACGATTAAAAACAAAAGAACGAAATTTATTTTTTCGTTTTCTTATACTTTTAAAAAAATGTTGGCCAACAAAAGAACAAATACAAAAATCAAATGAAGAATATGGTAATATATTTAATATTGCTATTGATATTCTAGCGCTTTCAATTTTACATGAACATCTTGATAGAAATCAACGACATGCTTTTATTTTAGCTTGTCTTAATGAAGAAAAGAAAAATTAAAAATATTGATTTTGTATTTTGTTTTTTTTTTCTTCAAAAATTTATATCTTGTAATGTTCTCGCTTTTTTTTTTTTCTTCTTTGTTTATTTTATTCACGTCAACAGTATATGTGTCATAGTGTTGTTTTCTTTTAATAACATAAAAGAATTATATCAATAATTATTTAAAGAATCTGATATGAATTCGATTAATCAATCAAATCTAGTCTGAAATATTTATATTGGTTTAAAACTTTTTATAGTATTCTTCTTGGATCAATCCTTATTTTTTACATTGAATGGTGTTTAGTCAGCAGTCAAAATGTTAATAAATGCTGAATAATTGCTACTATTGAACTTTAGTTTGATCGTCAGAAAGCCTAAATGAAATATATTGAAAAGCAAAAATTATTGAATAGTTCATCTATTAAGATTCATTTTTGACATCATACTAACATTGTAACAGAAATTAAAGGAAAAAAAAAGTTCCAAAATATCATTTATTCATTTATATGGTGAAAATCGACGATTTTATCGTGGTTTATTAGTCCAAACATTTGCGAGATGATATTTGCCGATTTCTATTGAAAATTACGATTCATCAATGATTTTTTATATTTCATAATTTAATATTCTACTCAAACGTTCTCCAACAATTGTATTGACTAACGACTATCATTAGTTTGACATGTAATAAATCTCATGCACATGTTAATAATGATAATGCAGTTTTCTAACCTATACTGAAGAAATAAAATAGAATATTACATGATATTTGTCAAATGCAATGCTTATCAACTATAATACCGTATCAAGAAAGCTTGTCGAAGAATACATTAACGAGGGAACATTCCAAAGTGATCCGTTCTGTTTTGATTCATGCATATCTCATTTGAAAAAGTATGTTGATATAAGAAAAAGCCTAAAAGAATTCGTGCCTATGACCTACTGGTGAAGAGTTATGGCCATTTTACTGAAAATTTGTTTTTTTCAAAATGCCTGGCTCACAGTAAAAATTTCGGTAAAATGGCCATAATTCTTCATCAGTAGGCCATGGCACGAATCTTTTTAAGCTTTTTCTTATCTCGATATACTCTATCGAATGAAGTATGAATGAATGAAAACAAAGCGGATCACTTGAGAATGTTTTTTCTTAAGAGAAAATTTAAATAGAATTTTAAATATAAGTTTTCGTTGATCATCACGAACTTGATGTTGCATCTTTTTGAAAATACTTTGAGTTTTATTGATCCATAGAGATTTTAAAAAGTGCTTTCATTTCTTTTTCGTTGAAGGCAAAAAAAGAATGCCTTACATGTAACATCATACCGTATGATTTGGAAAAGCATTTGCAGCAGAACTATGAGCTTGGTCTGCTGTTTGATAGATCATCAGACTAGTACAAAATCGTTGATCTGTGTGAATGTAGGTTTTCAATTATCCATTTCATTATGTACCAGAGACCGTCACAGGACATTTTTTTTGTGCCCTGTTCTGCCCTTTGCCCTGTTATGCCTTGCTCTGCCCTGCCCTGAGGGCCTTTAAATTGAATCTCAACTATAGGATGAATTTATGACATGATGAATAAATCTAATGGGTTTTGTGTTCATTATATATGCCTTGTTTAAGTCATTTCAACAGAATATTATCCATGCGTAGAAACAATCAAAAGTTCGTTTAAATTCTATGAAAACGATACTGTTTTTATATAATTAGAATCCTGCTGAGATGCTATGTTAGTCTTTTTAAATTGTCAAGATTATTTTTGAAATTTTTCTGGTCGATTAAAATTGAATAACTAATTTAAAAAAATAAAAACTGATAAATATTTTTGATTAATGAGAAAAAGTTTTGAAATCTTATCAGTGGAAGAAAACGAAATAATTGATGAAAAGTTACACGATAATCGAGCAAAAATGATGTCATTTGAGTTTATTCTTTGTAAAAAAAAAATAACTGGCTTTAATCCAGTATCTTCACTTCTCTTGTACAGATCCAAAGAATAAGCAGGATGACTGCAGAAAAATCAGATATTTATCAATGAACATAGAGATTGTGATTGACTGAACGCTATCATTTTATCGATTTGCAGATTTTCATCGCTACTTACCAAGAGGTTGCGATTTATTTTCTATGTGTTCTAAATACTTTTGATGTGATAACCGTGGTTAAACTTTTCTGAAGTGGGAAGAACTGTATTGTACAATGGTAGATCAGAATGAGTATCAAATTCATTAGTTCTGATGAAACCAATTGAAAAGACAGGTTCATCACTGGTTGATGGAATTCCATCGATAATAGATGTTTTGAAAGATTTCATTTAGCTTCGAAAAAGGCTTCCAAATAAACTTATGTGAAAAATTAACAGGGCAAAAAAAATTTGCCCTATCCTGCCCTGAAGTACAGGGCAGCCCTGACCTAATGAGGATCTCTGTTATGTACACAACACCGAATCATTATTATATCTAGTTTTCTAGTAAATATTCAAAATCAACTCCAAATTATTCTATGAATTGAAGCTATGATACAAATAGTTATCTTATCCTATCAATTACAGTTCGGAAAAAACAATGAAGGATTATTTCGCATATTGTGTTGATAATGCTTTAAGGAAATCGACTATGCTCTACACGATTTGAAACATGAAAATTGATTTGGGGGAAGTCGAATGCAAACGTGTCGCATATACAGTAGAATCACCCATTACTAATCCACTATGTGAAGCAAATTATAAATATTATGAACAATTAAGACAAAAATCGTATCATATTTTAACATCAATAAATATTAGTGTGATGATGAGAGTGTAAATGAATAGAAAACGATCATCTTTAACCCACTATTACCTGTTTCCGTTGTATTTTTCTGTTGAATCTTTCATTCCCTAGACTGTAAGGATAGGGTCTAGAAACGGGAATTGATCTGTCTGCATGTATATCGTTTTTGTCGGTAACATGGCACAAATGACTAATTTTTTTGAGACAACGACCACGTATCTATGGTACCAGTGACCATTTCGGTAAATATGCTACAAAAGACCATATAGCATCCATATTACTAATCAGCATATGACGTATAATAAAATTTTGACAAGTGAACCAGAACAAATACGTAATTTTATGATGCATGACAACGATATTATTTTAAATGTGATTTTTTTTTAGTAGTACTCAGAAGCATTTTAGTATTAACTTTTTAATCTTAATCTTATAACTTTCTAGCACATGTGTGTCGTTATGGCGTCAGTCTAGAGCCAGATGAGTCGATTGTCGATGAACGTTACTTGTAATATAATGTTTATTTATTGTTTTAAATTAATACCCTTTCTAATTTATACTCCATGAACAAGTGTCTATGCGACCTATTGTAATGATAAATAACCTATTTAGTTTTGTTTTCTTTTTCTTGATGTTTATATTATCTGTTATATCCGAAGTTAGAAGGTAAAAAACAACTTGTTTTTTTTTTTTTATTATTTTATTCAATCCCTCGTAGGAATACGTGTATAATATTGATAAATAGGAGAAAAAGAACAAAAAAACAAAAATAATGACAAAGTATATTTCATTTTTGTTGGTATGATCTTTCTTTCAATACAACAGTAAACATTAACCAATAAATAATATATTTATATATATATATGTGTTTGTGAATATTATTTGTTTTCTCAATTAATAATTTTTTTCATGCAAGAAAAACGATAAAGATAAGAAAAAATATAATCAAAACAGCAAAAACTTTAATAATAAGCCATCGATTAGATGTTACTGAACGAAGATATTTTAGTAATTCTGTATGTGCACCTTCAATATGATCTGTTGCTTCATCAACATTAGCATCAATTCTAAATAAATAAAAAATTGTTTTTTTTTTTGAATTTCTAATTATATACATATTGTTTTTTGTATTTTTACCTATGAACAAGTTCTTCTTGTTGTCGTACCATTGTAGCTAATTGAGTAAAAATATCGCCAAGTTCAATTATTGTTTGTTCAATATTTTGCATAGCTTCCGAACGATTTGCCAAATATGTATCCTATGTTTTTTTTTATTTATTTATATTAAAAATAAAAGAAAAAAGAAATCAATCATACCGTTTCATCAATAACTTGTAATTGTTGTCTCATTGAAGAATTATACATTCCATCTGAACCCATATTAATAACAGCATCACCTCCATTAGTTGTTCGATGTTCATCACGAAAAAGTACGGATGGACGACCTATGAGAAAAAAAAAAGTGAATATGAAATATAAAAGAAAGAAATTATTCTTCAAGTTTACCATTGATAGCTGATGGAGCAGCAGTTAAAGATGATGCAACTGTATTACGTGAAAAATGATCTCGACGTGTTTTTTGGTCTTTTAAATTCTAAAAAAAAAAATTATCCGAGTAAATTATTAAATAAAACAGTTGCTCGACAATAATCGCAGAAATCAATTCTTTCATAATAGAACTCAAGATGATTTCTATTACAGATTAGAGCCGATCGGGTTGCTTCCGAATCTGGATCCGACAAACTCCACTATAGACTTTAATAAGTAAAACTAAGAATAAACGTTTTCAAACATAATGTTAAGCACGTAGCTCCAATCCAAATAGTGATTTTAATAGCCAATGAAGTTTTCTATCCAACACACTTTATAGAAAGATTTCATAGATGAATAATGATGGTAACTCTCTTAAAATACCGAACACGATATTTTTCAGATTCTAGAAGATTTTGCCAAAGTTATTTTTGAACGATGCCATCTTAAAGAGCACAAAATGACGGGTCGCCGAGTTTTCTACGAACTTCTCGTAAAAAGTTACAAAAATCATGAACAAGACGTTTTTAGTTGATTTTTAAAAAAATGTCGTTTTTTTTATGATTTTTGTAACTTTTTATGAGAAGTTCATAGAAAACTCGGCGACCCCTCATTTTGTGCTCTTTAAGATAGTATCGTTCAAAAATAACTTTGGCAAAATCTTCTAGAACCTGAAAAATATCGTGTTCGGTATTTTAAGAGAGTTACCATCAT